CATTAGCAAGAAGCCGAAGACAGCGATCCGATAATAAATAATATGTAAAGAGTTCTTGGGAAATAAAAATACCTGAATGCTAACATATTTCTCGGTCGAAGGCCGAAAACATGATAAAAAGAGGGCAAGCAATAGCCAATAGTTAATCCAGTCAGAGCTGAAAGAATTGGTACAATTTTAAGCCTAATAAAAATGACACTAATTCCCAGGTAAAAATCAGTCACATTACACTGATAATGCTTGTTACACGTAAAAAAATTGCATCTCGAAACTGCCTAAACTTGTTTAAAAGAAGATAATTTCATAATACAAACTGAAAAGTATTTCAAAGTTTAGTAGGTATTCATAAGTGGTCGATTTCTAGCCGGAACTCTACCTGATCTTTACCAAGCACATAACAATGAAGTTCACGGCTCACGGTAACAAAGGTTCATTAATAATTACGATGAGATGCAAGACCTTCCTCGTAACACCAAGCATTTTGAACCGACAGTTACGTAGATGGTAAATAAATAACTAAATAACTGATGAATGAAGCGGCCACAAAGAGCTCACCTTAACACGTTGACTACCAAGTGGTACATATGCATACCACGAAATGTATTTCTCCAAGACGTAGTGATACATAATTAAGGTTGCCTAAAATCGGCCAAATCCGAAAACAAAAAAGGCCAAAAAAATCCGATAACTCAATATATACTAGTTTATTTGTAGCTTCTGCTATAAAAATTCCATTCATTTTCTTTTTGCAGTATTTAAAATTTGATTATGAAGTTCTCCTATCATAAATTTTAGCCGGCCAACGCAATTGAGAAAAACTAAATCACGGAACTTGTCCGGAAAAAATTACCGTCTGGCAAAACTGTTTAAAAAGGGTACTAAAAATGAAATAATACTACAAGATGAAGCAATCGTAGTCAACGTGTTAACTTCAGCTATCATTCGGACGCTAACATTGATTATGCTTATGTCACTATTTCTGCGTATCAACTTCATTACTATACCAGTATTTCAGTAACACGGGCGAAATGAAAAGTTTGAAATATTCAAGTTTCCAGTTCCAGTATCATGTAACCTTTCATCATCATCAATTTCATAAACAAACAACGTTCTACCAGCAGGTGTTATCAAGTATACCGACCGACCAACAATTATACTACGCTGACAGCCATAAGACATCGGTCGAATATGATGAATTATGAATCTTAACAACTTCCTGGAGAAACCCTGCAGTGTCTCAGGATAATATCAACCTGGAAATAGATAATAACTTATAGCTTGCCAGGTGTGCTGGCATTGCGTTGCTTATGGCGATTAATCGATCACGGATGCGTTGCTTATGGCGATTAACCAATCGATCACGGATGCGTTGCTTATGGCGATTAACCAATCGATCACGGATGACCTTCACTGACACTATCGTTATCGTAGCTCATTTGTTAAGGCTGGTACGTGTCAGTAATGGAAGGTTTGCTATTATTTCTGATTTCATCACAATAAGTCAGGCAGCATGACACAGCGGCCTCATGATGTGCAATTTCACAAGTAATGTTTGTCATCACGCAACAGTATGCATGTAAGAAGCTCTCGATTGTTATTGCACTGCAGAAGCTCCACGTATTTTCCAGATAAAATCGCTAATAAGAAGATTCTACAATCAGAAGCATATTCATAAGCGATGATAAGTTGCAGCATATCTACACCATTTCTTCCCCTTAAAACACTGAAAATAAATTAAATTTTCTCGTCGAAATAATAGCAGATATATATATCCAAATACGCTAGCATTGACGAAAAAATTTTAGTTCAACAGGGCCAGCCAGACAAAGTAACGAACACTGGCACTAAAGTTCAGATTATGCTCCAAAGTCCATCCATGAGATAGATGAAGATCGTTAGTAAAACAAGCACTGATCACAAGAGTTCATCCACGACACGTGAGCGCGTTGAGCGATGGATACCAGGGTTTAGATTACAGTTTATTAAACTTCGATATTTTTACTTTCTGTTGAACTTTGAACATGAGCATAACAGCCCTGCATAATTATGTTCTACCAATGGACTACGGACGGCTAACTACTGTATAGAGGAGAATGAGCTTAACTAATGATAATGCTTTCACCGACGAGAATTGAAAGATACGCCTGTTAGCAATTAATCATGTCCATATAATTGGATAGAAAACCTGCTTGATTATAAATTCTAAACGAATTCCTAATGCATTATGGCGTCAATAAAAGATATACAAGTGATCATATGATATGCATTTGTATCATAAAACAAATAAGTAAAACCATAGTTCACAGAATATCAAGCAGCGTACTCAGCCCAATGCCTAAACTACTCAAAGTAATTCCTTCCTCGACAATTGAAAGAAGTTACACGTCCTAGAAAGGCAACTTCTCTGAATAACTGAAATTGCCAAAAAAATTTAATATATCACCAAAAAAAATAAAAAAATAAGTTTGACTGATGGTGAGCACCGACATGATGAACTGACGACGGGTCGCAACAGAGAAACATTATTACCATAAAATAATAATAAATTAGACTGATGATGAGCACCGACATGATGAACTGACGACAGGTCGCAACAGAGAAACATTATTACCATAAAAAAACAATTTTGACTGAAGGTGAGCACCGACCTGATGTACTGACGCCGGGTCGCAACAAACAGTACCGTAATACCATAAAATAATAATAATAAATTTGACTGATGGACGTGATTGGTGTCATGGTGAGCACCGACCTGATGTACTGACGACGGGTCGCAACAAACAGTAATACCACAAGATAATAATAATAAATTTGACTGAAGGTGTCATGGTGAGCACCGACCTGATGTACTGACGACGGGTCGCAACAAACAGTAATACCATAAAATAAAAATAATAATATTGACTGATGGTGTCATGGTAAGCACCCACCTGATGTACCGACGACGGGTCGCAACAGAGAAACATTCTTACCACAAAAAAAAAGCTAAAAAAAATAAATAAAAATTATACTGATGGTAAGCATCGACCTGATGCATTAATACCATAAAATAATAATAAATTTGACTTATGCTGCGCACCAACCTGATGTACCGACGATGGGTCCTGCATCCAGCATCGGTACATCTCCTCGACGTAAGCCGAAGACGAGCCATTAAGGAAAGGCTCGGCCGCCAGAGCCGTGTTCGCTGGAGGAGGAGGAGGCGCCGACGACTTCAGCCGAGCTGTTGGAAAACAGAGGCGTCACGTCGCGATCGCGGGGTCAAGTAAAGGAGGGGGGATCAAGGATCGGAGGGATCAATGATTGGGGTATCAAGGGTCGGAGGGATCAATGATAGGAGGGATCAATGATCGGGGGATCAAGGATCAGGGGGATCAAGGATCAAGGGGATCAAGGATCAGGGAGATCAAGGATCGGGAGATCAAGGATCGGGAGATCAAGGATCGGGAGATCAAGGATCGGGAGATCAAGGATCGGGAGATCAAGAATCAGAGGGATCAAGGATCAGGGAGATCAAGGATCAGGGAGATCAAGGATCAGGGGGATCAAGGATCGGAAGATCAAGGTTCTGGAGAACAAGGATCTAAATAACAAGGATCTGGAGATCAAGGATCAGGGGGATCAAGGATCGGGATCAATGATTGGGTCAAGGATCTGGAGATCAAGGATCAAAAGGATTAAGGGTCGGGAGATGATCGAAGATCGGTGGATCAATGACCGGGCCGTCACGTCGCGATCAGAGTTCATGCAAGTTCGTCACCAAATTAAGCTATACAATTATTGAGTTCAAGTTCTTATTACGGTAGAAAATGAGTTCAAGTTCTTAGCTTTTCAACGTCCGAGTAAAAAAAACTCGAAATTATAACTCAAAATTCTTAAAGACTCCTGAAGCCGACGGCATGAGAAAAACATTGAATCAAGTTAATATTCGGCAACAATTGAAAAATTTCCGATGGTAATGTTAAAACACATTAATCTTGCAAATTCCGAACAATACATCAAACCCCAAAACCAAAACAATTAAACAGAAACGCGTACTATTGATTGAAGCCAGCACCCGAGTAGGACATACTATTGTGCGAAATTGAAAAAAAAGAACAATCGAGACAAATCGAAAACGCCGAAAAAAAAAACACAGTAAGCCCCCACACAGAGAAAAATCTCAAGACGTTTTGGGCTTAGAATAATTTAAGGAGGTCGCCTGTAAATCAAACTACCTACGTGAGTGCACTTTGCTACTGCATCAAGCGGCCTTCAAGTTGCCTTTCCGTGATAGCGAGAAAAGAGAAAAAAATAATCCAGCACAAAACAGCTCGCTTTCCAAACTTTTCATTGTGTCAACAAATTTGTTCGGTATCCAAAGATTTTTTTTCATCAACGAGTGCTGCCGTAGAAACGTTTGCGAATTCAAAGTTCGATAATTATTTCATCGGTAATTTAATTTTTCATGGGAAAATAATAGACTAAAAACTTGAAACAATCGCATTGTTTAAACAATCGATCACACCCACGGCACTCGATCGCACATTGGCGGGGCTTGCTTCAAGATGCTTCAACTTACAAGATAGAGAACTGGAAATACGAATTGAACTTTTGATTTAATGAAACAAGCACAAGCGATCATTTATCCTGAATTGAAGCCGGCACGCAGAGATAAGCAAAAGCCACTAAAACGACAAAAAAAATATTAAGGCGCTCAAAATTAACTGCACCAATAAAATGAAATGAGACAACACGTCAGCATAACGAGTATATAAAAAATTATCCCGCTATAAATAAATTCAACCTTCGAATACCTAGCGCCACAATGTCAGACATTTCCTACAATGGAAATAAACGTCAATTTCTCAAGCTTATTTTGGTATTGATCAAGAGCAAAGCAATTACTGGATTCATTACAACTATCTAAAAAGATTTAATGACCATAGAAATAGTTGAGGTGAAACCACGTTAATTACAGTTAAGACAGCATTCACCTCTACAAAAAACACGTCTGACAGGAATTCGAGCTTAGGAAGAAGTTCACGGGGTATATAATCCATTCTAGGAACGGCTACGGATTTTTCCTTGTTTTTTTACGAGTTCAAATTAGAATGAATAAAAGAACAAACATATTATTATATGTTTGATTATTATTATTAGGAAAGATATTATTAAGAAATATTATTTCATAAATGTTCATTAATATAATACTCTTTTTTTTAACTCCGTTTAAAGTGATGAGTTCAATAAACTGGTGCAACAAAAAGCACAATCGCAAACATGTTGCATAGCAACTACAACTCAATGCGATTTTCTCAAAAGGTTTAGCCTTCAGCGTTATCAGAATGTAGGTCGGAGGCTTTCTTACGAGATCAACAGGAAACGGTTTTGTCACACATTGCACGGCAAAGGGCTGGCTACTGTAGTAAATTTTGTTTTGAATTGCAGAACGCAAAATAAGTAGTAAAGTAACTTGTTGTTTTGAATTGAATGACGCAAACGAAGTAAAACTTGGGTTTAGTTGCATGACAGAAACGATGTAACACGCGTGTTGAATTGCACGGCGTAAACGAAGTAACACGTGTGTTAAATTGTATAGCGTAAACGTAGTAACACGTGTATTGAATTGCACGGCGTAAACAAAGTAACACGTGTGTTAAATTGTATAGCGCAAACATAGTAATACGTGTGTTGAATTGCACGGCGTAAACGAAGTAACACTTGTGTTGAATTGTACAGCGCAAAACAAAGTAATACGTGTGCTGAATCGCATGGCGTAAACGCTGTAACACGAGTGTTGAATTGCACGGCGTAAACGAAGTAACACTTGTGTTGAATTGCTGGACGAAAACGAAGTATCGATGATGAGTGTATTGATGCTAATAATGAGTATAAGGGCGCGCGGACGCTGCATTCCATAATGGAAACTCGATAACGTGGATGAAGAATTTGCACACATGTTCGTACTGACGTGGTCATCTTGGGAGTGTTGAATTCACAGGTGTTTCTCAAGGGCGCAGATGTGCGCTCGCTAATGTTACACAACACCGGATGATGTAGCAACGTAAACAAATTTCATCCCCTCCTTGTCACATTACAGTGCTGTCCAGCACGGACGTTCTTGAGAGTAAAATTAGGCGCCCTTAGCAATCGTGAAAAAATCATAATCCGAAGACACAAAAATTAGGCGTTTTAATTTTAAATCTCGCCGCTGATTTTTGAAATTAATTTTTGAACAAATCAGTCGCACAGAGGAGCATTTAGCCTTCACACGACCAGGTGCTACAAATTTGTCGAGTTACCGATAAAATGAATTAGCATTTATTCAATAAATTATGATCTAACTTGAGCACCCACCAAGGTGAAAAGATGACAAGAAACGTACGATACTTGTAAATTAACTACAGGTGTGGAGAAAGCTGCGGCCATTAGGTCGAGAGCGAGCACAATGATCGGTTAATGCGAAGCTGAATACAAAATCAACCCACAAAAGTACCTATATCAGAGATAAGAATATTTTACCATCTATTCAAATTATATGCATGTTTACTCACAGTTCAGAAAGAACAAAGAACGAGTTAGGATATAGGGAAGGTGGAAGAATACGACGAATGACGCAAAGGCAGAGTGGAGTAAAAGAGTAATTAGAATGGAGCCCAAGGTTGTGGGGTCTTAATTAAAGGCCAAAGAAAGGTTGTGAGGTGGAGTAAAAGAGTAATTAGAATGAATCAGTAATTAAAGGCCGAAGAAAGGTTGTGAGGTAGAGTAAAAGAGTAATTAGAAAGAATCAGTAATTAAAGGCCGAAGAAAGGTTGTGAGGTGGAGTAAAAGAGTAATTAGAATGAATCCGTAATTAAAGGCCCAAGAAAGGTTGCGCAGGCTTACCACCAGGTACATGTGACTGCAGGAGGGCGGGGGAATTGGTGGTGATGGCTGGCGGCAGACGTGCCAGTAGATGTGATACGGAGCGAGCTCGGTTCATGATGCTCGCTTCTTCTCTTCTTTACCAACAAAATGTGTCTTTTTTCCGATAAAAAAATTATTAGGTGTTGATTCTGACCAAAAAAATTAAATTTTGTGAGAATAATTTTCGCCTGTAATTTATGATTGAGGAAAAATGGTTTAAGAGCTGAAAGTTTAGTTCAAGTCGACCACAAAAATCACCAAGATGGCATTGACACAAACTGATGAAAGAGAATTGCGTTAATTTCAACTTCAAATAGTTGAGATGCACGAGCGATCGCTTGTCAACTGACACTGACTAGCGAAGTCCGTGGGTCAACACAAGAGTTGAAGTCGGGCTCGCTCAGAATCTTGGGCACTGCAGCTTCCCTGGAACCTGAAATACAAGACACGTTTATATAGACTCGTAACTTAAAGAAAAAACTGACAAAATAATACAAATCAATTTATAAAAATTTACGGATAAGACTTTTGGATGCCACTAACTTTGGCGACTTGAGAGATTTTAGAAATGGCACGGCCTTTAAAATTTAAAATAAATATACATCACAGTTTAACATATAGCTCGGTTTAATAATAAGTATTTTCTTTTCAGTGGGATTTCATGCTCTGCAACTCCCAGTAACAACTGTAACTTAGCAGAGAAAAACGAACCAGCAAGAACCTTAAATTTCTTTTACAGCTAACCACTTCTAGAAAATAGGGCAGCGTGAAATTCTAGACGCACACAGTCGTTTTACCAAAAAAGTACTCTTACGGCTTTAACCACCATTGTATTGCTAGCCGCACTGGCCAAACATATTTTGAACATCAGGTCGACATAGAATTCAAGTTGGCAATTATTTCGAAAAAAATCGCGTTGTTAAAACGACCTCCCACAAATGGAATGCATTGCGTTCGCAGCAAGAATTTGCAACTGAAAAGTGAAAAGTAAATCACTGGATAAATAGAGAATAGAAAAGGCAGAAAAGTGATAGGAATTGCAATAATATTATCTAATTATAATACTTGAAAGAATTCGTACAGGCAATAAACGTTAAATTTTTATGTGCGATTGGCAAAGATAGATAAGTGAAGTGGCATCTGGAAACGAATGAGAACTCAACTAGAATCAACGTGCGTTCATCTTCATAGTTCATTCGAGATGTTGAGTCAATGCATTAAACAAAGATAGTTTCTCGGAAAAATTTCAAAAATGCATAATGGAATAGATATAGAGAAAAATTTTGAGGTGCGTACAGTAAAAACCAACAAAGAACTAGGCTAATCAACGACCGAGCAAACACGTGGTAAGTAGATAGAAAGTCAAGACATGTGCCGTGAGCCGAACAAGATAATGCGATAGATAGGCAAGCTATACCGAAAGCTGCTTAGACGCTCGTATACAGTCTCAGCTTACGCGTTAAATTATACAAAAACTAATCTTTACTTGTGTGAGTAACGACAAAATGGGGTGAATACAATGCGTGTTCCATACGAAACACTTGCTCGTTTGAATTGTGTCGCTGCCTCAAACTAATTGGTGCCGAGCATCCAATTGTTATGAAGAAGAAACGATGAGATGAAGAAATGGTTACAAGTAAAAGTACGGACGTATGTGGAAGGGAATTGTAAAAGTAGAAAGCATAGATGAAAAATGTACAATTAGGCAAACGTTTTATTTCAAGTGCATATATTATAGGCGTCGGCGATGAACGGAAAAACTTAGTTTAACCGATTCCCGTAGGCTTGGGACAAACCTTGGGTATCATATATCAATAAGAACTTCGCAGCTTATACGAGATAAAAATTAATAATAAGTGAAATTAAAGCTCTTACTAAAATTGGTAGTGAACTAATTTTTGAATCGTTTAAAAAAATTATAGTATGCTAAATGCACATTTTTGCAGCAAACAATAACATCGAACAGGCAAAATGTTAGCAAGCATCACACTGATCGTTACTGAAATTTGAAAACGTTATCTATATTCTATAAACTTGTCAAGTTTTCAGACAGCGCAGATGTGAAGTGCTGAGTCTAGTTAGGTCACGGTGTGCTGCAAGGCAAGGCCAGTGCATTTAACCGACGATTCTGCATCGCCCTACTCAAAACATACAATTCTATGAACATTTTTTTTTTTTTGTTGGAATAATTTAACCCTGTGCTAGTGTATACTAGGTTACAACAGTGACAGAACATGGAACCACAACACGGTAAGATAATATTTAAGAAGCAGGACGATACCTACATCACATCCACACGCCACACGAGCTCACCAGTCACTAGACCGCAGCCTTTCCCAGAACTGTGCACCAGCGACGTTTAATAGATGCCAACTTATGATTAAAATATCAATCTATCTCATTAAAGCAAAATATTACTCACTATATCCACATTAAATTAATTGTAATGTGAAATATTCTAATAGTTATACAAATTTAAGACCGAGACTAGCACTCTAAAACATTTCCATGGTCATAAATATAACAACATCTGGCATCGATCACCACTTCCGCGCAACTTCATGAAATCCGTACATACTGAAGATTTTCCTTAAATAATAAGGAACTTCTCGTACATTTGCACTCAATAGGTTCCCAGAAATTTTATTCCAGCGCTGAAGCATAGCAGCATCCATCAACACACAAAGCTGATTCTAGCAACTCGAATGATTTTGGTTTTCCGCAACAGAACTTGCAGACGACACGCAACTCTGTCACGTGGTGCAGAGGGCGGATAGTTCTTGCCGCCAGAAAAATCAGGATATCTGTGCCGTCGAAGACGGTCTGAATAAAATAGCCCCTGTAACTAATTATGATTAAGATGCAGTGCTCCAAGTTATAAAAAGTCTGGAACTTTTAAATAACTGGTAAATGGTACGAGTTTGGATAGTTATAAATAACTAAAAATATACCCATTCACGCACCAGTCACTTTCGAGAACTCAATCAAGTATTAAAAAATGTATCTCGGCATCTTCAACAAATTCACTGTCACGTGTGAAGAAAGGGAATTATTCCTCAAGTAAATTTAATGTAAAAAAGAGACAGACTGAGGAAGTAATAGACTGTTAAATACCTCTATATATCAACAAGCATCGGTGGTTCAGTGGTAGAATTCTCGCCTGCCACGCGGGAGGCCCGGGTTCAATTCCCGGCCGATGCAATCCTTTTTAGGGTATGAATCGCATTTTTAAATCATTGTTCAAGAAATTTCGTAAATATCTGACTATTGTTTAAAAATGCATCTTGATTTCATGAAGATGGTCTCGAAGAAAAAATTTTAAACAGACGTCTTGGAAAAAAATTTATTGATACGGGATTCTGTGTTAAAATAATGTTCAGTTTGTAAGTAAACTAGTTATGGCGCTCTTCAAAAAAAGAATGATAATAAAGGTGCAGTTAGCTGCCGCCTCTGCTCGGCGCTTTTAGGGTACGCTTTGAGATCCCGTTTAGCAGTAACATTAGTGCATCGAAATCCCGTTCAACCGTTACAACGGTGCGCTGAGATCCCGTTCATCCGTTAAAATGGTGCGCTGAGATCCCGTTCATCCGTTACAATGGTGCGCTTAGATCCCGTTCATCCGTTACAACGGTGCGCTGATATCCCGTTCATCCGTTACAATAGTGCTCTGAGATCCTATCGGAAAAATGCTCGCTCAACTTTAAGAAATCAAAATGAAATAACAATTGATAGCTAAAGATGAGCAAAGCAATGCCAGGCTTTTTATATTTTTCTATTCTTGACAATAAATCAGCGGGTGTATTTCATTGTCCGGTATAACACCCGCATAAAGTATAGACATACTTCGAAAACACTATTGACAGCAAAGAAAAATTATTTTATACAATTCAACCTAAAAAATACTGCTGAATTCTGTGTGCCGGTTAATGCGTACAATGGTTTCCATTACAGTAGAAAACTCACAAAAAAAATATATCCCCAACAAATGCCGTAGTACGCGCCCCTTAGGCAAGTCAGGATGGCCGAGCGGTCTAAGGCGCTGCGTTCAGGTCGCAGTCTGGTTCTCCAGGCGTGGGTTCGAATCCCACTTCTGACAAATAATTTTCCTTTTGTTGAGCATAAAACAGGCTTCCCTCCTTCGGAGAAGTACACAACACATTTCCTGTAGCGTTGGATGGAGTTTCCTTCTTGGAGATACTACACATGAATACCTGACAGTTCCCTGAATTCATTGCTTCTTTCCCCCTCAGTTCACTCTAACCAACGCATTTATCGAACCAAATATTTAATCACATTTCATTTAAGTTTGATAATGGATATATAAATGCTCGTGGGCAGAGAGCCTGAAAAGAATAATATATTTACTCATATAAGGAGATTAAATTTAATACTACAAGCTGCATTACCTAAAATTGGGATCCAACAATAGAATATATGGATCAAAATCATCTGCAACTCAACATTGCTAATTCACAAATTCTTGACCGTTGATCTTCCTGTAAATTAGATGGCCCTTAACCTGTGAGCTGGATGACAGTGCCAACAACTAACATGTAATTTTGGTCTGAGGAGCCAATTACATTATTTTAAATAAATTAGAAAAGAGAAATTGATGCCAATACTAATGAGCCTCTAATTTAGTTCTTGATAAATCAAAGTAAAAATAAGTTTTTTGTGACAATATCAAGAATAATAATTATGTTAATGCCTTAGTTTTTCTCACTATGCCAATGCTCACATATATCACTAGAACTATATTCTTTTTCAAAAAAAAATCAAACCTTCAAAAAACCACAATCATAAAACCAAAATATGAGGAATGTAGTAACAAATAGTTGAGTGCCAGCAAAACTGGGGAGATCCTCTAAATTAATGAAAAATATATAGCAAGAAACACATAAGTAGTTAATATACATATGAGGAACTGAAAAATATGTCATGTGTCACTGACACTTGAATCAATTTGCTTGGAAGACTAGACTACAGCTTCAACATATTTGCTGTTTATTGACATATGAAATTCATTACATGGTTCATTTTGGTCAAATTCTCTACTCACCTGACTGTTATAATAGTATTATTTATTCAAGAATCATGTTTATTATGGAATTATTTAAAAAAATTATGATCTCTTTAATAGGAATTGACTCTTGACAAATGGCATGATAATAAGCACTAAATTAATGTAACAACAAGTATTAATCAAGTTTCACAATGAATAATTCAAGAAACAATGCATATGGCGCTGATTTACATGGATAGATGGTTCTGCTTGGTGCTCACATTTCTTTTAGCAGGGCAGCTCTTAGAACAGCCAGAATATTTTATATTTTAACTTCTGATTGCATGCAAAGAAGAAATTAAGGTCAGTTCTATTTGATGGCCAATGAGGCTTACTTGAGGCATTGATAATACATTGTAAGATTTTCTGGTTTCCAACAGAAGAACATTACCAGTACAGTAGATATTCACTAAGAAAACTACAAATTTGTTGAGGAAACAGGAAGCTATAAAGATCCAAATGATTTTATAAATTCACAGACCATCCTAGCCACCACACATAAACAACCAAGAAAGAGAGTTATGAAAGAGTTATGTTATGAAAACAAAGAGTTATGAAAACAAACTTTTAATCTCATTAAAACATTATACTGTACAACTCATGCATCTAAAAAAGCAGCATGAGAACTCACCACCCCAAGTATTGATCAATCAAAGGAATGCAATCAAATACTAAATGCTACAACTTCTGGTAAGAATCATACATAAATGATAAATGTACACCATGCCAGTTGACATGCTACTTCCACTAAAATTACCATAGATGTTAATTATCAGAGTCTACAGATACAGAGTCGGATAATTATCACAGTTTACAGTCTGATAATTTTCTGAGTCAATTATAATAGTTTCTAATTATCTGAGTCTACAAGTGGCACTGTGACATAGAATGCCAAATAGCTAAGAATGGTTTAAAAATATATAACTTTAACTTCCCACAATAACTTGCAATAGTGCATAGTGGCATCAATGAAATAAGGTTAGAAAGAATTTAATGAAGGAAAGACACTTCCTGACACTGAGATACAAAATATCAGTCATGTAATATTGTTTATATTCTAACCATTCTAATGTATAATAATTAGTATTTTGCAGAAAGACAACAGAGATTGGGAGGGTGAGACTGTGAGAGCAATTGGGTATTTCAGCATTTGGGCTCTTCAATCTTCATGCAAGATCTAGCCAAGATTAATTGGCCTGCAGTTAAACTGCATCCAGCACTAAAAGTAAGATCCTGATAGTGATAGGTAACTACAATTAATAGAGAGATACAAATAATCAATTACAAGAGAGATACAATTCAATAAAATTATAGAATTCAATTTTTTCTGGCTTTGGGTACAAATTTAAAAAATTTGTTGAGCTGAAGTGTGTTCAACACAAATCAACTGTTCAAGACCATTTTCTAATTCATAGTGAAGAGTAAAAGTTAAATCTTTTTCATATGGCCCCATTACATTATGACTCATAACTTCATAAGTATTGATCCTAATTAGGTAATCAGCCATACCTAGTCTGAGTCATTACCTATAAATTTTATCATCCGGGAGATTGGAAATTTATGCAATCATTTTTGGGAACTAATTCCAAGACTTAAATTTTTGCTCTGTTGCCTATTGGTAGGTATTTGGTAGAAGCTTGTGTTTCCATTTTTTAGCATTTGTTACAAATACAATATGGCCACTGTGGGCCACATAGTGGCCATATTGTAACAGAATTCTGACAATTGTGAATTTCAATTTGTGACTGTCACTGTGCCACACAATTCTAACAGTCAGCTTTACAAATTAGGTAGGCCTAGTACTACAGTGAGTACCAAGGAGATGATGGGTAAATCAGTAAATTATTCCATACAAATTCAAATCTCATATTATTTATACTCACCAGTCACCTCCCAAATATTATTCAATGAAGTATGAAACCTTTTAGGCAGTCATCTTCAAATAATCAATGATGTTTCCTCAGCCGTCACAACTCACAATTTGCCCTTGATTCGCATGGTTCACCGGTCTCCTATCACTCTCGGCCGTACGGAGGCTTAGAGCCTTAGAGTAATCAGTAAAACCACCACTAGAATGTTATTATCAACCTAGAACTCAAGATAAAGAAGACTATATTAATTTTATTAAAATGTCTAACGTCAGTGAAACGTGTCACATGAATAGTCATTCTGGGATTTGGCTATTGACAGTTGCAGATGCAGCACAACGTACTAATAATTACAGTAGCTACGCGTACTGCACTTGACCGGTATA